GGATATGCCCCCCTCCCTCTGTGGAAGCTATACCTAAGAACACAAACAAATACACACAGCCACTCTCTCATTCACACTAGAATCCATGTCCTCCACACTTCAGGCCAACCTACTATTAGACTACTGAAGGAGCGAAAGGGAAAAAAATGACAGCGTCAAATTGGAAGAATTTTAATGTGACCACAAGTAGGTCTGCCTCATGCATAACGGCAATGAAACTGTACCTGCGAGTCTGGAGACCAGCAGACAAACAGACATTCCTTTACACCTCCAAAGCCTTCCATCCTACAGCAAGGTGAGTGGTCCATGTGTTTTCACTCCGGACTTCGGTAACCCAATTTGAAGGCTGGGTGCGGAATAAACCCGAGAAAACGAGTCACAAGGGAGATCATCGTTCAGACATTATTTCAGCTGTCTACGGTTAAAATAGTACGCCCTAGAAGCTCTCGTGATCGGTAAAACACGTGCGCTCCTGCCCACAACAGAGGAACCTTGTAGTGTGTAAAGGAATGCACATTTGATTAAACATCTCCAATACAGCCATAAAGACCCTGAGTGAGAACTCTGCGTGATGTCACCTCCATCTGCCAGAGCTATAACATACGAGCCTCAGCCCAACAGGCTGGAACACATTCACCGCCTTTATTTATTTCTTCCAGGATGGAAAAATAATCATCAGGATCAAAAAAAAGAAGTTTAAAAAAGAGTGAGATTGGCTGATGTCATGTAATTTAGTCAGCGGTGGGGTAATGATGGCAATTATGGTGGTCACTTCCTCCTATAAATTGGGTCATGGGCAAATTCTCTATAATAAAAAAAGGCAAGCAGGACAGAACAAACAAAGGCTTTTTCATTGTGTTACCTTGCTCAGAAACAGGCATTTCAACCCCTTAACATCCCAGGATTATTACATACTAAGGCTTATTATTCATTAACTACAGGGACTTCAATGGAAACTAATGGAGCTTTTCTTAGGTTATAGATGTGTTTAAAACAAGTTAATACCTCAGACAGCTACCGTCACAATCTACCAGAAGCTTGATGGAACACACAGCTCAGAGCTCAACAGCCAAGACTTATTTTTCTCTCTTTTTTGCAGTTGCACTGAGATACTACAGAGAGATTCACTCGAAATAGGCCCCGAATAATCTGTAATTACTCTCGCTAGGACGAAGCAATCTGAACTAAACAATGTGCAATGTGCTCCTCAGTATATGGAGCTTCGAACAAGCCCTGAATGCCCCTGCATTGGAGCGATGTGGTAGGTGCCAGACAGCCGTCACAACTTTTAACCTCCGTTTGCAGGTTCCGGGTGCATATCCCTGTACCCCTTCATGTGTCTGGCAGAAAACAGAGATCACTTCCATCATCGCATGTAATACAATTGATTACACATATGTCAAGGTATGTAGCATATTTGTTTGGTTCAGATTGCTTCATCCTAACGGGAGTTACAACAGAATATTCGGGGCCTCTTTCAAGTGAATCTCCCTGTATAATCTTATTAAAGTAATAATTTGGTGAAAATCAAATTTACACAATTCCCCCACCCCCCTACTCCAAATGTAGACAATCGGTCAACATGTGTTTGAGGCAAGGGTGTGATGATTTGCTCTGCACTTTCCCTGCATTCACATTAGGAGGTGACAGAGCAACAGGCCACCAGTCTTCTTCTAGAGGAGCACACAAACAACATGGCGACCAGATGAAAAGCAACAAATCAAGCTGACTTTTTCTCAGGTTTGCGCACATGAAGAATAACATGGTTAAGGGACAACCTAGATGATTGGTTCCAACAAAAAGCTTGGACACTGCATGCCTTGGCACATTTATTAAAGGCGAAGTGATTTTTTTGCTGAACTAATCCTGTTAATACCTCAGACAGCTTCCACAATGACCTACCAGGAGTCTAATGGAACAGAACCCCATATATATAGTGTAGCCTGACCACTACTTTTCTCTCTACTTGCATCTTAATTTTATATCATCTCAGAAAAGCTTTAACCTATAGTGCTCTGTGTTCTGAAATGCTATGAATAATAAATACTCTGGAAACGCTGATTTGCTCAGCCTCAACTGATATTATATTTCATGTACTTTCATGCAGCCATGCTAAAGTGGCCTTCTGAGCTCATAATCCATAGGAAATAAAAGCAACTGCCAGAAAGTCATAGAGCAGTGTATGATCTTTTCCTCCAAGCCTGAGCAGCTGCTATTGCTCTCCTGAGTCCTATCTCGGAACAGGACAGAGAGGACACAGGGGCAAGGGTGAGGACAAAGGTGAAAAGTTTTACTGCAGCACGTTAAATGGAGGTCTGACGCTACATGGTAACACTGTAGTGCCGTCTGCCGTTTTGCGACTTTTGGCTCAGGACCACCATGAGAATGACCAGCTCATTATAGTGCCACTCGCAATCATGTGCATGTTTGTACAAAATGCGACAGGAACAACAAACAGGGCCTTGCTGGGCTGCGGCTGTTTACACAAACGCAGGCCATTTCAATCAAGGACGTGGCGGTCCATCACCATGTTCCACAAAAGCCAATTGCAGGGTTGGCTTGCCAGCTCCCGCAGTTTAGCTGTATGGAGAATGTTATGTTCTGGCTATGCTCTGATATGAAGACTTCTGATTTACTGCAACTTGGGACTCTAGGGAGCAGCACAAACCTATAGAGCTGCTTCCACAGACTTTTAAGGGAAAAGACAAGGCGTGGAGGCTGGTGGTGTCAGGCTGAAAACACGCTGAGATTGATGAGCTTGAACTCTCCCACACAGGCTCATGCGCAAGCTGTACCAACAGCACTCCCAGCAGTACGTATGCGAAGATGATGTAATGCAATGAGGATTGCACCATAAGGACAAAATAGCATAGTGTTGACATACTGCTGCATATTGCAACTGCAGCACACCTTGCAAGATGTTGAAAGCATATTGATAATGTGATGTGTTGCATGTTCACACAAGTGCCTTGATTCATCTAAACATAGAAAACTTGTTTGTTTGAAAAGGTTTGTGATTGGTCAAGGTGTCTCAGTGCAGAATAAAACATTCAGACTGGTTAAAACAACAATGAGTTGCACTTTGAGCTGAGATGTATTTCAATTTTAGATTCATATATATATATACACCTTTAAAGGAGAAGGACAAAACATGCATTTTTTTTCTTTCCCAATTCATTTTGGGCCATTTCTTTTGGTCCATTCTTCATTGAATTTACACAACGTGTAAAGGCCAACAGGCTTTTTCAAACGGAAAAAAACGGAGATTTTCTTCCGACAGCTGCGATATTTTATATATTTTATATACTATAAAACAATATATATATATATATATATATATATATATATATATATTTATATATATATATATATATATATATATATATATATATATATAGTTTTATAGTGTTTATCTTGGCAGTAAGTGTGTTTTTGCCAATATATATATATATAATATTAAATTACATATTACATAGAAATAAACATATAGTGAAACTTAACAAGATTTTTTGTATTTATAAAAGCAGTTTGAGCTACCTAGGAGAACACAGGTTTGGTTCCAGATGTCTCCTCACTGCACTCCAGCCATTACGTGGATTTGTTAAATTCCATCACCAGCACACCTGATTTAATTTAAAAAAGCTATGATTAACCAAACCAGGTATCTGATGATGAAATGAGGAGGAGTGATCCTCCCTTTCTTCTGCTCTATGTGAGAGACCGGAACATTGATCATTTGGTATAAGTGTGAACTGCTCATTTAAGGGGTGTAAATGAAAACGAAATGAAAATAAATGCTATTCGAAATCCCCTTTTTACAACACAGTGTGTAAATTAATGTAAAAACACTACAAGCACAACAACTACATTCCTACACACAAAATGAGGATGGATATCTTCCATCATACAGTGTAATACGCTGTCAGCACAGTTGTCTTCCACAAGCTCGTTAGACGTCGGGTGGATAAAAGCCATGTTTAGGACACCGAAAGGTACACAACGTTCAAAAATACACACTCTTATCTGTGCAGAAAACCGCAGCACACTTTGGTGAGTGTCTTCAGATGTAAAACATAGCAATCAAGCAGGGCAGACTCAACATAATGCTGCACTTGTGGGCTTTTGGCTTTAACTTTTATACAGCTCTCTACTGTCCACAAAGCTGTGTTTAGTTAATGAGAAAGTAGGCTAAACCAGTCACACTGGCATGCTTACCAAACAAGGGCTTTTCAGAAGGTAGGGCGTTTGAAGCCTTCTGTAATATTCGGGCTTTATTTGCCCTACAAATGTCACAGAATACCTCCAGTGCAGCTCAGCGGGCTGTGCCTGGCTTCTGTCCACAGACTCAGCTTTACCCCTTTTTTCAGAGATGGCACAGAACAGTCTGTGCTGTAATTCTGATTTTACAGAGAAAAATGAGGAGGGGGGGTGGTTTTCCCACCTAATAAAATCGCCTTTTTACATTGTGCTAGAGCTGGGTTGGCAGAAAGGGCAGATTTCGTTCCTTATCTGAAAAAAAGACCATTATAATAAAGATACTGGGCTCTCATAATCCTAAATTTTGCTTTTATGCTTCAGGCATCTCTCCAGAAAAAGTCACTGTACCACAGACTGTTCTTCAAACATTTGGAGCCCAAGCTTCTTCTGAAGAACCAAGTATCCAGATGCTCTGTGAAAGAACTGAACTGTATCACAAACTTTCTTTTTTATGGAGAAACTCAGAGCTGGACCACTCAAAGCCCAGTCATTTTGCCCTCTATGTGTTTTACTGTGCAAACATACTTTACAACAGACTCCCCCCAACTCTCTGAGCACAAGGGGTCCTGCCAAATACAAGGCACTTCCAAATACAGTAGTACTGCCAGAAGATTGCAGTGCTGGAATAATGACACGTCCACTCGCCCTGTTTGCCCACAAGTGATAAAAACCAGTTCAGTATCTCCACTGATGGACAGGTCCTAAAGAAAGGAGCGAGTAATTAAAGCACACATTGTCCTTACCTGCTGGAATTTGCTGCTGATCGCTGCCTGCGCTCCAGGCTTGGTGGCCACCATGTATCAGAAGGAAAGCTAGAAGATACAGTCGCTGGAGACCCTCCATCGTCGCCTCTCCAGGGTCCACACAGTCGTCTGTGAGAGAGTGAAAGTGGCAGAGGAGCAGGAACAAGAGAACAAGCCCCGAGTGTCCTTTCCTTTTTCCTCTCCTCTCTTTGGCTCAGCTGCGCTGTTCAGGGCGCACTGACTCCACTGACTCTCGCGATAATAAAATAATGAAGCAAAATAGTCCTTAAAGCAAAGCAACACCGAAGAAAATGCCGGTTGGACCAAGAGAGGCAGAATGAGCGCAGAGGAGAGCCTCCCTGACCGGCTGATGTCTCTCCGCACCGCTCACTGCGCAGCTTTGGAGAGGAGAGCCGGAGTGTCCCCTGCTATAAACCGAGGTGGCAAGAGTGTGTGAGTGTGATAGAACAAGTACAGCTGTGTGTGAGACGCCCCCCCTCTCACCTCCCTGCTTTCCTCCTCCCCTCCCCTCAGCTGCCCTCCCCGCCCCCCAACGGCGCACAGATTAGCCAACGCTAAATTTATAAAATTAATATCGCCGTTTATCCCGCTGAAATTTAAGTATTTCTAACTCGGATTTTTTGTTAATGTCACTCCAACATCGTTCACTGGCTCTAGGTCCCAAAAATTCACTCTTTCACTCTTTCACTTCTCCTTGTCTATGTGCAATATAAATATAAATGTGTGCAATTGAGCTGAATAAACCAGTAAAAATGTGGATGAGATAAGCACATAAGGTACAGTCACTGGCTGCTAAACAGCTAACCAGCATCCACTGAGGCAGAACTTCAGGGTTAACTTGCCAGCTAGCTAATAAACACCTACACTGACAAATATAGGATCATAGAAAGTTAAAAATGAATCTGCCTCATTTAACCTCAGCCTGACAACTCAAGCCTAAGTAGCGCTTATCTAATATTTAGGGCTGTAATAGCTCACAAAATTGAAATTTTAGGTCTGATATCTTGGTTCAGTGCATTTTCCGATACAAAAAAACGTGCAGTGGCAAAAAAATGTGCCTTATGGTAATATTTCAGTGTGTTATGTCATTCACATTCAATTTTTGAAACAAAAGCTGCTTTTTGGGGGGGCAGGTGTGTGTCCCTATACATCAACCAGCCATACCATTAAAACCACCGCCTTGTTTCTACACTCATGGTCCATTTTATCAGCTCCACTTACTGTATAGGAGCACTTTGTAGTTCTACAATTACAGACTGTAGTCCTTCTGTTTCTCTGCATACTTTTATCTTGCTCTTCAGTGGTCACCACACCACATAAGCGTCACTGCAGTACTGAGAATGATCCACTACCCAAATAATACCTGCTCTGTGGTGGTCCATGGGGGTCCTGACCATTGAAGAACAAGGTGAAAGTGGCCTAACAAGGTATGCTGAGAAACAGATGGACTACAGTCTGTAATTGTAGAACTGCAAAGTGCACCTGCATTGTAAGTGGAGCTGATAAAATGGACAATGAGCGTAGAAACAAGGAGGTGGTTTGAATGTTATGGCTGGTCGGTGTATAATGCCCTAGCCACAAGTTAAAATGCCCAGTATAAAAAACAATATAGCAGCACAATACAGTACACTGTGATAAATTTGATAAAATACGAAGTGTTTTATCCCTACTAATATCAGCATTTAGTTACTTTTTTAACTAAAAAAACACTACTTACATTTGTACCTATATAAAATGGATATCTTGTGCCACCTTCAGCCCATCTGACAGATGACTTCTTTGGTAAGCCACCTTCACATCGCTACATTGAAAATGGTAAGGTAGGCTTTAATCAACTGTACAGTAGATTATTTTTATTTTACAGTTATTGCATCTTTTACTTCACCCGTTACTGTATGAGTTATCAAATACATATGATGTTAACTGATTTTACTTATTTAACATGGTATAATTAATTGCAATTGGGGAACAAATGGGAGAGAGTGTACTTTGCATTTGCATGTTGCCAAATGGCAACAGCTTGCGACAGTGGAGCTGCAATCTGCAATGCATATGATGGCAGTAAAACAATGCACTGCCTTAGGACACAGACGCATTCATCACCCAGCCATGAGCAAATGTGTGCGTGACACACTAATACGAAACAAGAAAAATGACTTTTATGTTTTAGTCAGACAAAAAATGTAATAACAAAAACAGTTATTGTTCTCAGCATGCAGTATAGGGTCAAGGGAATAATTTCGGGAAACTTTGTCAAAGTTTTTGAAGCCACCGCCAAAACTAAATCATACTAACATATTATTCAAACACATCATGACACATAATGTATGTTTAAGGATTCAGTGAAATGATCTCTGTTTAGTGGAATGTGTCCACATCCCCTTAGCCATCCTTCCATCAAAGCTGCTTGGGTTTCTTTAATGTATTTGGTTCTCATGTTCATCCAGAGAGAGGGACACGTGGGACACACAGCAGTTTACAGACCTACATTTTATGTAGCGCTAGATACTTTAATTCCCTGCACTAAATAAGCCTATCCTTTAGTAATAATAAGATTAATAAAAATATCTCAAGGTACTGCATGGTAGTTATATAAATGTATAAACTTTTCTCTGATGGTAGCACATTAATAACTATTGCTGGTCCACCAAATGCATCACAGAACAGGTTTTATTCTGGCTACTGATGTTCTCACTGACACAGGTTTGGAAGATACTGACTCTGATATTTGGTTGTTATAAATTAAATGATTGAATAAGTCAGAGGTCATCATTCATATATTTAGTTAGTGTCATAACAGATATTAAGTACAAGATATTCATTTTTCATGGACAAACACAAAACATATATTTAACAGGAAATAACACTGAAATCTCAACATCTAATATATAATTTCTGTTTTTTTGTTTTTTTTGTTTTTTTTTTTTATTACAGCTTACATTGTTTTCAGGAGACTTGCTTTGAATATTTCAAAGAAATCTGTGGGGATATTTTCCCACACCTCCAAAGTTCAGTCTAAGTAGTTGGTTTCGCATTTTCTGCTTCTCACTATCCAAGTAAACCCAAACACATTTAGTGATGTTGAAGTCGTGACTTTGGAGTGGTCAGTCCATTGTTCTGGGAACCCCAGCCGCTTCTTGGTTTTAGTTGCAATGTTCTTGTTTGTCTGTTTCCTTTTCTCGGTAAGAGCTTTTTGACAGCTACACATCCTTTCAGACCCATAGCGCTGAGTTGTCTTCTCACAGTGGAAGGATGGACAGAAACCCCTGTGGATGTTTTTTTCAGGTCTAAAGCAGCTTGATTTTCTCCTCTCTCTCAAAGATGAAAGCTGAGTGCTGTTTATCTGGTGGTGACAGTTCTGGTGGTCTACCAGGTCTTTGTGTTTTTTAGAATGCTTGTTTTCTCTGTATATTTCAATATTTTTTTGGACTCCAGATGTGGAACCTCCTGTTGTTTCACTTCTTATTCCATTGACTTTCCCCTTTCTTGTGCGGGACATCTGTAAGTTATGATATAAAAAAAAAGTTGAATTACGTATCATGCTTGTGTGAGAAAGTATACATAAACATAAATCCACTTTGTCTTTATAAACCTGTGAGCAGTTTTGAGGTGAGTGATGTAAGCCATCCCCAAGCAGGTGGGCCTTACAGTACATTTATGACTGGGATAAAATAGTCCTCAAAGGGAGTACTCAGTGCATTCGTATGTTTTCCAGCACACTTGGCCTGTGACCGTGCCAATCACGCTTTTCATTGTCATTCCAAGTTCTTGGAAATATTGTATTTTTTCAGCAAACCATGTACTGAAGTAATTTGACTCCCTTGCCAAGCCATTAATGGAGGCTGCTTATGTCGGAATGTATATGTGCCGTCATTGTTTATGCATTACAGAAAGTCTCTTAAACACAGGCCTGTTCTTGCGCAGTACAGTGCAGTGCTTTATAGGAGTCAAGAATTACTCCAAGCTGTATTGGGATGGATCAGGCCTGGCTTTGTTCCTGGGAACCCAGGCAACTCTACTTGGCAACACTATCAGTTTCTCTGTGCTGTAACAATATGAAACATTGCAATGACAAAAATGTCCTCTTGGACTTCATCCCATTTCTGAATGAATTTAACAGCTTTGCTGGCCCCTGGGGGCCACCGCCAGTCCTTCTGCATCTGGATCCACTGTGGGTTTAGACAATAAGAAACAAACAGCCTGCTGTTTGCCTTCCACATCTGCCTTTGGTTAGTCGGATGAGAGGGAGTACATGCGCCATGTATGTGCAAATCACACTCATTGTCAGTGGGCGGTTAATGTAAACTTGCATTCTGACTCTACTGTAAAACAGAACACAGACTTAATAAAAGATTAAGAGGACAGTTCGTTCTATATTTGTATTCCTAGAAGCAACATGTTGGATGGTTTTATATGGAAACCTTTTCCCCCTTTTTTATGGAAAGCCTTAATTTAAGAACTTGTGGGAAAATGGATGAAAATGAGGGATAAAATTACTTACATTGGATGCTTTAAAAATCAAGCTTAAAGAAATTTGCTGAGAAATTACTTGTAAATAAAAACAGCCTTATTAGATTTTTCCATTTAATATGAAGCTATTAAATGTTATGTACTATTCGAGCTGTCACACAGACAGACTGCAAATAATTTAGCTGGGAAAAAAAGGTTTCTAACTGTTCCTAAGATGTGGGTAAATCTTGTCTGATTTAGTTGTTATTCTTTGTAATGTCAAAGCAGAGAAAATGCCGCATGAGTGTTAATTTAGCCACCGTGACCATTGTCTCAGTGGCCTGGATGCATATTAACTCCTTAAAATCCCAGTCTTACATCCTAAAACTATTTACACCTAGTTGTTTCCTGTGACTTCTATCTGGATGTTAACCACATGCATACTTGGTAATCAATTGCATCTTCAGTGTGACAAACTGAAATCTGATTGTTATGTAAGTCATTTGCAATCAGCTCATATACAACAACCAGTTGCTTGTGTTGTTCTTCATTTTTTCCTGATGTATTCAAAAGATCAGTGATGCCTTCAAAGTCACAATTTTGCATGCCATTATTCATCTCTGAACACCATATGTTTACAAGAAGACTTTTTAGAAGATCATCACAGTCAGGGCCGTACACAGATATTTTGGGGGGGGCAACATGAACATGAATTAAATAGAATCTAATTTACTATATATTGCATCACCCTTATTAAGAGCGACAGGGTATTCATGTTTCAGATAAAACCATGAGTAGTAGGGCTGGGTATCGATAGGGATTCTGACCACCTTGAATTCTATACAGAATTCTATACAGCTCTGGGATTAAAAGCTGTTATTATGTCTGGTTGTATTGACTTTGATGGCCCTGAATCCTCTACAAGAGGGTAGTGGCTGGAAGAGGTGATGTCCAGGATGAGATGGGTCAGCCTGCTTTGTCACCCTGCTGTTGGTGTCCTATAGCATTG